CCTGCTTGTTGGAAGAGGGGTTTCTCCTTGTGAGCATAACAAGGACTCACGTAGGCTGGGACAGAACACCACATGCATGTGCAAACCGGGCTGCTAGTGCCCGCGTGTATGCGCAAACAGGGCGCTAGCACAAATGGGGGGGGGAGTGCATGCACACATCCAATCCCACGGCCCAGTGGCCAGCAGACCATGGACCAATAATGGACTGCGGCCCACTGGTTGGGGACCCCTGTCATAGGGTTTAAAATGGCACACAATTATCCCGGTTTATGATCTAAAATCATTTTTTTTTTAATTCTAAGCACAGTACCCAAGCTAACGTTCAAATGACTTAGGATGAAAAACACCCTCTGGCATAGTTATGGGTGACAATGCTATCATTGCAAATGGGCGATGGTGGGCATCTTGCTATACAATCCAAAAAGAAATCTCCAAAAGTTTGACACCGCCCTCCCTCCCCCCAGTCTTCATCCTTTCAATACTGGAAAATAAGCTGCAGGAAGATTATGTCGGCTGGTGGGCAGATCTGGTGGGCACCTGGTTGCAGAAGACGTTATTTCTTCAATGAAGGAGAATATTTGTAGCTCTCTGAGCTGGCTTGTTTTCTTGCAGACGTTTCATGACCCAACTAGGTAACGTCATCAGTGCTAAAAGGGAATGGGGTTTGTGGAGAGGAGGAGGAGGAGGAGGAGGAGGAGGAGGAGGAGGAGTCATCCTCCTGTGGGGTCCTTGGTGCTCTCTGAGCTTGGTGGTTTTCTTGCAGACGTTTCATGATCCAACTAGGTAACATTATCAGTGCTAGAAGGGAGGGGGGTTGACGATGACGAGGAGGTGGAGGTGGAGGAGGACTGTGGGGTCCTTGGTGCTCTCTGAGCTTGGTGGTTTTCTTGCAGACGTTTCATTACCCAACTACGTAATGTTATCATTGCTAGAAGGGAGGAGGAGGACGAGGACGAGGACGAAGAGGCCTGTGGGGTTTTTGGTGCTGTCTGAGCTTGGTTGTATTCTTACAGACGTTTCCTTACCCAAACTAGAATATAATAGAATAGAGTTGGAAGGGACCTTGGAGGTCTTCTAGTCCAGCCCTCTGCTCAAGCAGGAGAACCTATACCATCCCAGACAAGTGACTGTCTAGCCTCTTCTTAAAAACCTCCAGTGATGGAGCTCCCACAACTTCTGAAGGCAAAGCCATTCCACTGATGGATTGTCCTCACTGTCAGGAAGTTTCTCCTTAATTCCAGGTTGCTTCTCTCTTTTGGTCAGTTTCCAACCGTTGTTTCTTCTCCTGCCCTCTGGTGCTTTGGAGAATAATTTGACCCCTAGCACCGACGATGTTACCTAGTTTGAGTTATGAAATATCTGCAAGGAAAGAACCAAGCTCAGGCAGCACCAAGGACCCCCTTGCTTAATGTCGTTGTATCTTCCACCCCAAGGAACCCACAGAACGCAAGAGGGTAGTAAGTTATAAGGTTTGATAGACGGTGCACTATTGCCACCC